GCGACTGCACTTCTGGCACGTTAGTGTCTGCTAAAATCCACGATTATCATGTCACGTCGATCCGCAGTGGTTGCATGCCTTCGGTTTCCCACCTCGATCACGTTTATCTTCTTCTCCCTTATTCTTCTTCCAGGTACGATGATCTCGATCCGATCTCTTTTGACCAGATGCAGTGGTCACACAAACTCGGCGGCGATCCTTGTCTTCATCCGATCCAATCGAGTCCGATTCTGATCCGCTACTTTCGATCCGCTAGCGGATTGCCCTCACCGCCCGAGCAGTCTTGGATGACGTAAGATTTGGGGAGGCATTCGCTCGCTGGTGAAACTTGTTCGATCCTGTCGACGTCTTTAATTGACGACTCTCCATCCTTTGGCATGCACGTAACGTCTTATCCAACTCATTGACATCGGCCAATCGTAGTAGGGTCAGCTGCTTGGCCGGATCGCGATCGTCCAACGTGGCAATGAAATTTGTCACGTGTTCACGACGTGTGTCCGATGTGGCCATCCTCTCGTCTCTGATCACGATCTTGCATGCTTAGCTGTGACATTTAGGCGGTGTAGATACTCGTGTGGATTTTCATCCGATCGTTTTCGTGCGAGATGGTATTGTCTGCTAGAGACACACCTTGCCCTCCATACTGTACCATAAACTCATCCAGCAATCTCTTCCACTTATTTCGAGTATATCGACCTAGTTAATTATACCATTTTCGAGCGGGTCCTGTCAGCAGATCTCCAAACACAAACAATTCTCCTCATCGGGTGCTTAATCGCGCAAGAAGGATGATTTGACCTTGCTGATTCAGCTTCTGAACCGATCTTCATGTCGATCCTTGCCACTGAATTCTTTCATCTCTGTCATCGCCGACACTCGAATGCGTTGAGGTATGCTACCACAATCTTACAACGTCTCGGTCGTAGCTACCATAGCGTGTCTACGATCTTTTTGTACCGAATCATCGGGATCGATGTCGTCAGGGTCGAAAACCTCCGATTGACTGATGCGCGACTGTACCGATTCCATCTCCACATCGGGGGTTTATCTTTCACGGCATCTAGCAGGCTTAGTCTTTTGACTAGGATAGATCGCTTGATACGCTCATTCCCGTTGATCTTGGAGAAAACGTTCCATGGCCTCATCGAAATATGTCTGCAGGAGTCCTTGCGCAGTAGTTGTCATCTGCTCTTAAGCGCCTGTGGCCTTCGATCGCGAGTTCAGCTTCACCGACTCGACTCGATTGCACATATGTGTTGCACCACTTGGGCCTAAATACATTCGCTGGATGCCGACCGAATCGTCCGACTCCATATCTGATTCCGCCGAGGCATATTGTGACGATCCGGTATGATACCGCCTCGAAACATCGGCGTTGTAGCAACCGCTTGATCCGCGGAATCACACTTACCCGATAGAGGAATTAGCTTGACATACAGCGATCGACACGCATGGATCACCTGATCCTGATCGCATTCCAGCAGTTCGTTCGCATCGAGCGCCCCAGCGACGTATCCAGCATCTTGCAGCAGCTGGATGATCGCGCTGATCCCTTCTACTGCGTTAGTCGCCACCTTCGGCCGGGATATCGGGCCTTGTATCTCTCCGATTAGCTTAGGATTCAATATCCGTAGCACGGGGTCGCTCGATAGCAGATTCTTGAGCGCCTTCCAATGGAACCCCTGCGCCAGTTGATCCAACTGCCAGCCTTCCAGATTCGTATCCAGAGCATCGTCCACGTACTTGATCGGTTTCACGATCGTTTTCACGCCACGATCGTGTCTATCCGATCTGGGCTCTCTTTCTTCACTCGACCTGTCTTTAAAGTCGCCTTCTTTGACATCGCATGAGTGGTTTGTGTAGTTTTTGTTCACTTTTCGCTGAAGGGTTTTCACCCAGCGGATTGTGTTTTGCAGCACGATCCGCGGTGGTCCCAAAAGGGACACCTGGAGTGGTTAGGGGTCTATCTTCCAGATCGATTGGTCGATCTTCCTCTTTGATTTTCTTGTCATCAGAGCCCCTCCCAAAACTCTATTAATCCGGGGGTCCTTTAAAATCACGCATCGGAGGCGATCCCTTTGCCTCTAACGCTTTCAACCCAGATTCAGTCTTGACTTTCACTTCTTCACTTAAGGACCTACGGTGAAATCTCGAGTCACCAGAAGATCCAGGCACGCGCACTACTGTGGTGAAGTGGCGATCGATCAATTTATGAGTCGATCCCAACTCTCCACTGACGCCCGGATGACCGAATAACGGAGGGGTTACTCCGATTTCGTGTGTGTTGCCTTCCTCACCTTGTGTACCCGTCGGTACGGCGGGTTGCACTCTTCCAGGTGGACTCGTGTCGAAGGAAAACTTGACCGTGTTGGGGATGGGGTTGTGATCGTGCGGAAATCTTCACGCGATCACGGGGTACTTGTGGGTACTGATATAAGTTACCCTGATCTCGACGAGATCGCCTTGTCCACTATGTAGTTGCTTGATCCTCGAGCCTTCTGACCACTTGAGCCGTCTCGCAATCTTGCGCCTTGCCTTTACGTGTCTTGCTGCGTCCGATCGCAGTTGATGTTGCTTGAGAGTTCTTGAACACACCTGGCCAAAACAATCCAGGTGTGACACTTGCTTAGACGTGTAGCGCGACTCTTTATTCGACGGGGGCCAAAGATCCTACCCGGAAGAGACAACGTGTGCCTTGTGAAGTAATTTGAACTCTGTTTAATGTCAACCAACCAACCTAAACCCTATCCCTATGACTATCTGTATATCCTAACCCGATGCCACGCGTCGCCTTTCCAGGAAGATCGTCCCCTCGCATTTGTGTGGTCCACACCCAGTATATCAACCATTGTATCTTCCTGTGGCCCACCCAAGTAATCCCCATGATCCTGCTAGCGGATCGTGATCCTACTAGCGAATCGTGATCCTACTAGCGGATCTTGATCCTACTAGCGGATCGTGATCCTGTTAGCGGATCGTGATCCCGTTAGCGGATCGCAGCTGGAGATCGGACTTGCGATCCTGGGTTAGGATCGCGGTCTTCCAGTGAGATCGAGGGTCTTGTCTTGCCATGTCTCACGACGGATTGCGTAATCAAAACGGGTGTGACCACCCTATAGCCTTGTCCCAGGCTGGACGATCCTGTCCACTTGGGGTTTGGGTACGCTATTGCCAGCCACCCGTCCCGGCTTGTATCCACCAATCATAGCATTCTTGGCTTAATTGGAGCGTGCGACCCGTGTGATCGCCGTGCCAAGTCCCAATAGAACTTTTCTTGTGACCGCTTTGACACAGTTGTGCCTCGCGTCACTTCAAGTCCACTGTACATGCAGAGGAAGGCTAGCTGATGACCGACGCGTTCAGTAGGAGTAGAAAGTTAAACTGTATTAAATAGAATCGAGTTTAATTATATGTACCTATGTTTAGGCCTAACTTAATCGTACTTATCTACAAAAATGCATATTAACGTCTTGCTCACCGCTCATTGGGCGCGTCCATCGTCGATTGGACCGCAAGAGCTGGCTAATATGAGGGCCCATATCAGCCAATCGATGAGTGTCTCTGAACATTACCCCCTAGGGTAATGTTCACGACCATTATCAACCTTTATGATAGTATTCTAATAACAAGCATCAAAGATAGTTGCATGCAACAGGCCCACCCCGTTAATTTACCGTGAGACCGAATTGAAATATTGATACGTGGGAGTGATCCAGCACTTATCAAAGTTTGCCGTACAATTAGATCGGTGAATGAGATGCGTCGGTTGTACTTCCAACGCAGATCGAACTTCAACATCAGTCAATACATCCACAACAAATCTTGTTGTGCGCGAGCCAGTTGCCATAATGAATTTATACGAGACTACAGACCCACTTGATACATGAGCAAGCTATACAAGTACTAGTTGATAAATGCGTTCACTAAACAACGCGCTGGAGCAATCCCGCTTATGGTCGGACTTCCAATAGCGTAAAATTGCCAGCTCGAATCATAGCGAGTGTATCAGATGATCGTCTTACTTACAAACGACAAATAGCGTGCATCCGTCTTCCTCTGCCTTTCGTGTAATCAGCGTTGTGCGCTCCTTTTTGCGATTGATTGAAGGCCTTTAAAGTGCCCTCGACTCTTGAATGCAGTCGACAGCCTTCACCTACAGCGTTTGTACTCCATCATGGCCGGACTCGGCACGGACGTGTTGCCTGTAATACCTCGTTGGTTTATCTCGAACGGTTGGCAAATTCGATACATTTGTAGAACTGCATGCGATTCGGCACTTTTCATTGATGTAGTTGGTTGGTACTGCTGATCAGTTGTGTGCACTCGCCAGTAAAACTTAAAACTCTTGTTGTTGTCGGTACACGTTCGTGTATCGAGACTCTCCGAGCAATCGGTCATTCGCTTCCATGAGCTACGCTACGAAGCAAGTGCGCCAATAAGATGCCGAGATCGTAAAGCTGAAGTATTCTGCGAGGATACTCTAAACATGACGGATACATCTATCCTACTGAAAGCTTTTTCGATGTACAAAAGCACGTACCCTAGCACACTCGATTTCCAACACTGTTTGCGCGGAGTCTTGTCATTGTGTATCTCATCAGCACTGTTTTCCTTATTTTACGTGATAAGTACTCGAAAGCTACTCGGCGCTGGGCCCATCGCATATCGCAGCAAACTGAATCCACGTCTGTCGACTAAAAAATCTCGCTGACGTGGGTTCATTTTCAATTCAATTAGGTGTGGGCAAACTCTATGACACCTTTCAGTCTATGCCAGCACGCGATCGATACATGCGGCACCGTCGGAGACAGAGAGCTGGCTGGGCAAGTCTTTGAGCTGCCCATCAGCGTTGACGCTTGTCGGGGTTTAGCTTCTACATCTTCTATCCACATCTGCAAGCGCATTTGTCCTTACCAAATTCAATGGATCGTTCAATACCTTAATTCAAATGACATGCACCTGAAGAAACGAGGAAGCCGCCGTGGTCGCTTAGGTTTCGACTAGTCCTCGAAGTCGAGACCGGGACACATTTTCTGCATCACGACCGCATCTGGAATCGGTTTCTTACCGACGACGAAAAACATAGGAACTACTCGTTTGCTTTGGGCGGATAGGATCGGCGTCCAGTGACGACCAAAGTGATCTCCCTCTGCTTTCAGCGACGTCTGCACTTCCAACGTCCATGGAATCTCATTCAAGACTCCCTGCAGCGGATCATCTTCGCCATATTTAACCGCGTATCTCCCCCACTCTTTCACGTCGACAAAACATTGACCAGGCATATCCGTCCAGAACGCACTCCCTGGAGCCGACAGATAGTCAATCACCTTCAGTAGTTCGACAATGGCCGAACGCTCCATATAGGGAAGCAGCCCCTCCATGATCCAGAAAGTCGGCATTGCGGGATTGTAGCCGTGACCCATTAGATTTGCTTCAAGACCAGCTGCGGCCAAATCCGAGATAATGCAGTCGACATTCTGAGCAAGAAGCGGTGCATGCAGTTCATTCATCACATCAGTCTTGTGCTCAAACATGGCATTACTTTGATCGACTTCGAGAACATGACAACCGCGGAGCGACTCCAAACGGTATGCACGAGCATCAAGCCCAGCGCCAAGAACCACAATTTGGAGGATGCGTGGGTCACGGTGATACAAAGCTCCGTCCACGTATCGCGTGCGGAGAGCAATGACGTTCTCGGGGAACGAGTAGAACTTGCGCAAGACCTCGTCGATGAACTTCTCAATCTCCGGCCGTCGGGATCGACTAAGTGGTTCGGCAAAAGGGTCGTGGATGAGACGGTCATCCCGAGAACTTTCGACTCCTCGTAAATAGGAAGTCACAAGCGCCATCCACTCGGCACCAGGATTGTCCACGACAGGAGGATCATCCGAGACGAGTGGAGACGAAGTAGTAGCTGCTGCGTCCATATCCATTTGGCGTGGCTTCGAGCGTGAAGAAAGATATGTGGAGAAAGCCTGCTGAAACTAGACGCGCACTTTCCCAAGCGTATGCGAGTGCAGACTTGATGGAGTGGCTTGAACTCACCACGTCGCAAGAGAAACACAACAACCAACAAACTGTACGCTAAGACTTTCGTAAGATGTACATCGGATAGTATTTGCGCTTAGACGTGTAGATTGATGTTTGTATTCCTCCACGCTTGCAGCAGGGTGTCAGTTGATCCTACAAGTACAATGGGATATCTCGACTGTAGCCTTCTGAAACGTAGTGCCCGTGATCGAAGCAGGTAGCTGTCGAAAAAGCATGCGTAACTCTGTCAGCGATATCTCGTGATTTTGCAGAGCCCGTAGTGCTTGTCGCTATCATCGCTATTCTTCCTCCCCCTGCTGCATCCCAAGTCCGCGTTATTTGTGCGTTACGAAAAGTATTGAGACAACGGCTCGGCTCAACGGCAAAGAAGCCACGATACGATCTGTGCGTCACACCTCGTCGCAATGGATCATTCTTTCATTTCCCAGGCTGAAGCCGGTGTCGTGCAGCAAAGACGATGGTAGGTGCAATTGAAGGTCAACAACCCGATAGCTCGCCTCGAGCGTGCAAGCAAAAAGGGGTCAAGCGAGACCATACAGCGGTAGACGAAAGTGATGATGTCGATGCAAAACAAAGTACTGGTGAACAGTCAGTGACCGATGGAGACGTTGGAATGACAGAATCGGCAAAGCCAGAGGAAGGTGAAGTTGCTACTGACGCTGAAGAGGAAAGAGTCAAGGAGCCATCGCCCAAATTGCCGCGATTGGCAGAGGATGTGCTCAAGAAACCAGCGGCTGTAGGTTCTAATCAGGTTATCGTGAACGCCTTGTTCGACTATGCAGAAGAGCAGCTTCAGCAAGGACACACGGGTAAAGGTGTCACCCACTTGCGAGCAGCACGCGCTCTTCGCGATCATTCCAGTGCCATCACAACTGGAACTGAAGCACGTGACGTCCCTCTAGTGGGGACAAAATTGGCTGCAGAGGTCGAGCAGATTCTAGAGTCCGGCAAAGTGGAAGACACGACGGAGGTGGGCAACCCGGATGAGGACAAGCCCACGGAGCCTCGATTGGTGCGTGAGCTGCGGGCGAGTACTGCGAAATGTGCTGAGAACCAGCCAGTGGTTGACAAACTTTTGAGGTACGGGGAGCACCAGCTTCATGCTCGGAACGGTAGCAAAGGCACGAGTTACCTTCGCGCTGCACGCAAACTGCAGCTCACTGACCACGTCATAGCTTCGGGGGCTCAAGCTCGAGAGGAAGTCGCGCTGGTTGGGCCAGTGATAGCCGACGCAATCGACCAGATCCTCGAGCACAAGTGCATCGGGAAGGGCGCTACATGTTCGGCTAAGACTATTGAAACGGACACTAGCGAGAAGGATCGAGACGAAAACTCGGCTGTGCGACCGGAGAACCAGTTCATTGTAGATGCTCTGGTTGACTACGGTGATCGCTGTTTTCAGCTGAGCCAGTGGGAGGAAGGCGTGACCCACTTGCGTGCAGCGAAAGCCATTCGAGACGCGGATGTAACGGTGACAACGGGTAAGCAGGCAGCAGAAGAGCTCAATGAGTGTTCCGTGGTGGACAAAATTGACAGCATCATAGACGGACACGATAATGCGGTTGAGGAGGACGAAGTCGTCGATGACGATGACGGTGCAGTCGGTCGTACTTCATCAGTTGAGAGAGTCGGTGAGAAATATGACCAAGATGAAGCGAGCTCCGACAGCTCGATTTCCGAGGAAGAGGAGCAAGAAACAGCGCTCGCAGTTGCTGCGACTCGCCTTCAAGATGCTGCCGAGTTAGTGGCGGATAGCAGCGTCGTAAAAGCTCTGGGATGTATCGGAGAAAAGGTCGCGACCTTCATCAGTACAGGCGTAGCGCTCCATTCGGCTGAAGACATTTCTACGGATGACGACGATGAGACCGAAGACACTGCGATGGACGAGCAAGAGTAGAAGAGGTTGGTGCTTTAGGTTGAAGCTAAGTTTTAAACATCATTTGAATCATGCCTTACCAAGTAAAGTGACGCGGTCGACGCAACGGGAGGAGATTGAAGGCCGTTAGAACCCCCACGTCTCACACTGATGTTCTCGTTGAAAGACATATCTCAACTCTGCGCGAGCGCGCTTATTTTGCGGTACTTACGAGCTAACTGGTGCCTACGTCTCACACGTTTCAGCTTCCAGCCTTGTTGCTTCATTTATCGTTTTGCAGTTCAGGCAGGAAAACTAACTTATTAGGTCAAGATGACAGATTCAGCGACTGCCGATGCGGTGTACGCGCAAATTGGGAAGTTGCGCGAGTTGGCTAAGAGCAAACACGTAGACATTCCTGAGGTAGGTTGTGCACAGGTTGAGTTGTCGCTTGGAGTTTTTGGTACTCATGTGAATCAAACCTGTCATCCTAGAATCCGTACATGGCAACAAGTGATATTTCAACGGCACTTCTTGCCTCGAACGGAGATGAACAGGTAAGGAGGAGAACCAAAGGCGATGACCTTGTTCGTTGACCACGGCTCCTAACTGCTGCTGGGTTTTGTAGTCTGCTTTGAAGAAGATCATGGCCAAGTTCGGCCGCAACAAGCGATCCCATCCATCGGAAAAGGACCTGGGCAACAAGAAGAGCAAGCGTGGGGGTGAAAATGGGGGTGGCGATGGAGGAGAGTCGGTAGCAGCGGGGTATGCTTATGCAACAATGACAAAGGGCGAGAAGGACATTGCTGGCGGAGCTGGACATGTAGGAGTCAAAGCTGAAGATCGCAAACAGGCAGGGCAAGACCAAGAAGAAGGAGGCCGAGAAGAGTCGATGGCTCCCCACAAAACCATTCGGTTGGTGGAAGAGGCTCGGGAGCAGAAAGCGGCGAATTCGGCAAACCAGAAGATTGTCGATGCCTTGGCGAACTACGGCGAGGAGCAACTTGATCGCGGGCACACGGGCAAAGGGGTCTCGCATCTGCGAGCGGCCATTCACATTCGTGATCACCCGGATGCCATCACGTCTGCAAAGGAGGCGCGTGCGGTGCCAATGGTGGGGGACAAGCTTGCCTCTCAAATTGAAGAGATACTGGCCACGGGCAAGGTGAAGGATGACACTGCAGACCAGAACGTGAGCACGGACGTGAATCAACACCAGCGACCTCAATTGGTGAACGACATTTTCAATTCGCGGGCCAAATGTCCCGAGAACCAGGTGCTAGTGGACGAGCTGGCAAAGTTTGGGGAGCACGAGCTCTACTTTGGTAGTTCGGGCAAAGGCACGAGTCACCTGCGAGCGGCGCGTGAGATTCAGCTGGCTGATCACGTTGTGAAATCGGGATCGACTGCCCGGACGAGCATTCCTCTGGTTGGGGATGTCATTGCGGACAAGATTGACCAGATCATGGAGCACGGTCGGATTGTTCAGGACACTGGTGAGACGACGGGGTCGAAGAGCTATTCCCGTGGCAGTGGGGGCGGGTATACCGTTGCTCCGATTGTGCAGGATTTGCGTGACAAACCGGCGGCATGTCCGGAGAACCAGCGCATTGTCGATGCTTTGATCGACTATGGCGACAGCCATTTGTACTCTGGGCATCGAGGCAAGGGCATTTCGCATTTGCGAGCTGCTCAGCACATTCGGGACTCGAAGACTGTTGTGAAGTCTGGACGTCAAGCCAGCAAGGACATTGATATGGTGGGGCAACGCGTTGCGGCCAAGATTGACCAGATTCTCGAGCAGGGGCATGCGGACAGTGACGAAGACTATGAGTACGATCCTGAAGCTGAAGAGGAGGAAGAAGGGGAGTATGGCGAGAGGGAGCGCGACTCGGTGGTGCCCCCTATTGTGCAAGATGTATGCAGCAAACGTGCGCAAGTCGAGAAGAATCAGATTTTGGTGGATGCACTGGTGGAATATGGTGAGGAGGAACTGTACAAGCGCCACACTGGGCGAGGCACGGCTTTCCTGCGTGCGGCACGCCGTCTCCGCGATGCCGATGTCGAGGTGAACAGTGGCAAGGATGTGAAATCGATCGGCATTGGGGACAAGGTGGCCGAGTATATTGACACGATCCTGGCGGTGTGAGGTTGGTTGATCCCCGACGAGACGATGCAGACGGTAGTTCAGTAAATGGAGGAGAGGGAGACGTGCATGTTTTGGCTTTCTTCACAAGTAATGAGCTTTTGATTCGGGTTATATTGGATGGACGCCGGGTCAGTGCTTGCTTGGCAACGTCCTGGGCAAAGTGACATCTATCTACATCTATCTATCTGCCATCACAAATTGACGGCGATTAAGCGTTGTGATGGGCATGCGCATTATGCTGAAGTGCCAGTGGTTCTTTAAATCAGGGATCGCTCAGGAGATCGCGTGACACCGTCAACGCGAACTCGGAATTACACCACTGAGGCATGCCATAGCCATTTTACATGCAAGGCATTTCACTGCTCGGTCACTAAAAGCAGGTCATCGATAGGATCGCACGCGAGCATAGACTGAGTAGTTTGCTGGAGTAACAAACAGACACACGTGATGTCGTTTCGGTTGCGTCTTCCCCATTGCGTAGGAAAATGCGAGACGACACCACACGATGAAACTGGATACGGGAAGGCATTGATGGCTGTTAACAAAGTCATGTCACACCTGCACTGTCAACTCTGCCTTTCAGCAGATGACGTAGGCTGGTTCGTCCTGTCGATCAAGCACAATCGATCATTGAGCCTCGACCTTCTCGTTCAACGCAAAGCGATGCGCACACTTGCTCACGGGCTATCCCGTTCTGCTTGGCTCAATGGAAGCTTGGCTGCTAGACGCTGCCACGTCCTCCGTATGCACACCACAGTTCTCCTTACCACTTAACGTGCTCTTCTTTGCTGATGCAGGTCGCGATTTCCGAGCAGCTGCAGCCACTTTTGACTGCGCAGGAGACGCCGACCTCATGCCACGATCCAACCCCTGCCCGTTCTTCGGTGCAAAGCTCGATTCCACAGTCAGCGGCGGTAATGGACCAGTGTACGGCGTGTAGCTAAAGTGAGCTCGCGCCGCTTTATCCGACGTCCTGGTGGCTACCGGCGTCGACAGCCGCTGAGCTTCTTCAGCTGGTGCACGTTTTCGACTGCACCATCTTCCGCATCACCGGCGTCGCCTTGACTTGTGCCTGATTCTGTGCAACTGCAGCCGTGCGTCGAGCAGAAGATGCCGTCGGTCGTGCAAACGCAAACGCCGTCTTCGTCTTGACCGGTCTCGTCGTCGTCGTCCCCACTGACTCTGTGTGCACTTGAGACCGCGCTTTCTTCGTCTTTCCATGGTCCTTGTCCTCAACAGAGGCCGATTGAGGCTCCTGCGCATTCAACTTGCGCTTCGTAGCTGCTGCTAGAGCCGGACCTGGTGCCGTCTCAGTGGTCGTTGACGCTGCACAGTTGTCCATTGGCTCGTCCTTGTCCGGCGAACTACTAGCAGCTGCACCTTCTGCCGTCTCGTCCTTGTGCTCCCTTGGTGTGGCGTTTATCCTCGTGTGTTTATTGGCTCCAGTTGCTGCTGTCTTGACTTTCGCCTCGGATGTAGCCATGTCCTTCGTCTCGGGATCCTGCGACGTCGGCGGCTGCTCTTGCGACACGCCCCCATTCTTCTCCTGGTCGTGGTCTTGCTCCTGTGTCTCTTCCGGAGCTGCTGCTGCTGCTGCTGCTGCAGTCTCCTCTTCCTCCATCTGCTGCGGCGGGGCCTTGGAAGTCATGGCCAAAACGACGCGCTGGGAGCGAAGGCGCTTGATCGGCGGGAACTTGGTGAGTTGGGTTATGTTGCGCGACGAACTGGAAGGACCGCTGCACACTGACTTCCGCAACATTAGAAAGCGAGGTTGCGCCAGGTGGATGTGTAAAAGGTCGCTCGAGTGTGGGTGGAAAAGGCGAGGCATTGGGTGGTCGATTTTGTAAAGTGTACGCACATACTTGTCATTGGTGGTTGATGTCGATCGCGGCACTACTTCACGCTCGATGAAGCAGAAGTAGGATATTTACAGTAAAAAAGGCGTTGTTACGTCACGCTTGCCGTCATTTTTACAATCACCTTGTACTCAATCGACATTATTGCACTGTGTGTGTAAAATGTCACCGAAGTCCATGGAAAACATTCAGGTACTGATAATCTGCCATCGTAGATTATGCAACTTGACTGAAAGCAGCAGAACGTGTTCGCAAAGGCCAAAAGCGCATTCTTGGCGATCGACGTATGCCATTCGTTTGTGCTTTTTACACTCAGTGGGTGTTCTGATCACCTTGTCTGAGACAATCCAGGCGCATGACGCGACAATCCATGATCAGAGGACCAAAAAGTGATCTTTTCATTGCAGCGAAGGCGTGAAAGTGCCTCGTTTGACAGCACCTCGTGTCGCGATCGATGAACGATAGGCCATCTCGTACGGCTTCGTGTGGTTTTCTACTTGGTAGACACCCAGACTTGGTCTTTCGAACTGCCTTTATGCTCATCGCAGACACTATTGCACGCTGTCACTGATCTTTTTTTACAAGTCGGTCTCTTGGAGCTCATGCATCGTCTGCATGACATTGAAGATGTACAGGGCTGACCAAATTCGGGTGCCAGGGGGAGAGATTGAAGATGTGAATTTCGTCGTTCATCAGTGATGGTTAGATGCTGTAATTTGTCTGTAAGATAGCCACTGGGTCAGCCTACTGAGCTCCTTGGAGAGCTAGCGTTTACTGCTTCACTCTACTCTGAGCTTGTGTAATACAGATGTAGACCGTTTTTAAACACGAACCCGAGAACTGCTTGGCACGTCGCTGGGGTGGCCAACTGATTCGTTTCTTTTTCAACACATGATTCTTACTATTGATGTCAAGCGCTTCCAGCACTTGTAACTTGACAGCTCGCGGTAGTCTCCGCGTTAGGTCTTTGGCGGTTGTGGTCGCTCACGTATCTTCGTTCATCTCTGCACCTGATGCGTCCTCAGCTAATCCAGGTGTCAGATGATGTTCGTGGCGGTATGATGGTCAAACTCGTCGATTGGTAGCATTTACTGCTGCCGATCGACTGATGTAACAGAGACTATCCGACGATGATCTGGATACCATATTGCAGCAAAGAGCCACTGCCTACCAGCATTTTGCAGCGCGTTTGTCGGTGAGTTGATGTGGGACGGACCTTGTGACGAGCGGGCAATAGCATTGACAATGTGGGGGAGTCACGGCCTAGCGAACGGCCGACGACTTGATTCTGTCCTGCAAATTGAACCTCCGGGGCTGGTTTGATCTCTAACAATGAGAGGTGCGACTTAGACGCATTCAAGGAAGAACGCCACACCCAACTTCACATAATTGATGGGTTAAAGTGACTATTGCAGCAAGGTGCTGTTGTTTGCTGTTGATTTCGCATGCAGTAGAACCTGTTAGTATTGACAGCGCTGGACCCCCACTATAGTTTACAGCACTTATAATGCCACAAATTTATCAGGCTAGGTAGCGGTATTACTTGTTCAAATAAGTGTATCATCGCTCCGTTAAGTGTGATGTAGAAGCTGTTTAAACCCCGTCAATGATATACTTGAACGAGCTAGCTGAATTGTGTAGGACCTGGAAGAGGTTTTTTTGTGCAAAGGGACACCAACGAATGAGCAACGATTCGAGTGTAACCGTGGCCAGTTAATCGTGGGATAACTTTTCTGCCTGGCATTTGATGGCTCAACAAGGCTCACTCACATCTAGACCGCAGGACGTCCTGTCCAAATTCCAATCTTTTGTCCTGCACGAGATAGGGTTACTTGGAAAGCAATTTACGAAGCAATAAATGCTTGTCGTGTGAATCAACACTAGAAGAAGCCATGCGTGATAAGAGGAGCCCATCAGGATTAGAGTACCGCAGCGATCGTGGACGAAGGACCTCAGAAATACTTACATCCTCATCCACTCGCGATCTCCATCGCCAAGCTAGCTCCCGTCAATCCCAGCATGAACAACATGACGACAATTGCGCTCCAATTTGATGCACCAGGTATCAAATAGTTAGGTTTGGACGTTCACAACGTTTAAGACATAATGCTAAGGATCTTCATCTATCACTTCGGTAAACGCCTGCGATTTACAGTGAGCTCCTGGGGCGTGGGTAGCGGAATAAGCATCTGATTGGCACAATATGCGCGCGGAAAGAAGTCCCAACATCGAACAACCTGGTAATCAAACGAGATTCATGAGGCGATGGCTCCATGTGATAACCGTAGCCACATAGTCCCGACGAATGGAACCCAAGAAAATTGAGCCAAGGACACTTCAGAATGAGCTGTTAGATATTCACATGCCAAGAAAGTATGAAGACGTGTTAAAAGGTAATACTGTAAGCAGCCAATGTCCCACCTAGTCCAAAATGCCCCACGTCGTTTTACACGGTTGAGTTTTTCTAGAATCTACTTATGTAACAAATATACTGATCAAGTAAACATTGACATCCAATCCATTAGGCGGACACATTCATCCACAAATAAAACATTTATTATATAAATGTTTTATTTGTGGATGAATGTGTCCGCCGTCGAGACAGAGGATAATGAATGCGGTATTTTGTGGATATTCTTGGCAAACCAGATTTAGACAGGTGCTACTGTCAGCCGTTCGTCCGTTCCGTAACAATACAGTAATCTACAAAGTGGGATAAAATCTCAAACAGCAATCCCTGGTCTATTTCTGACTCTATTTAATGACTGTTTGCTGACTCTGTTCTGACTCGATTTTTTTACTTCAAGGCTTCAGGTCGATTTACAAGTGCGATCAGCGCTGGGATTGGACCCGAGACTGACCAGGTACGCAGACAAATCGCCCCACTTCTGTCCTCTGCGACAAGTGTGGCTTGCGCTGGTTCATACACCGTCACAACAATCAACACGCACGCATGTAACACTAGACTGGTCTCCCTTGTGTCACGTCACAACAATAAACACGCACGCATGCAACAATAGACTGGTCTCCCTTGTGTCTCAAAGGGTCAATTATCTTCTAAAGACGATTGTCTTTGACTTCGTAGCTTCACTGTAGTTCACACGCCCTTTTGTTCTCGCTCTCCTTCCCTCACATTGTACATACTCAATTGGACCGCAAATCAACAATGAACACAGGTTGTTTCCACTTCGCCCCCATCGTATCACCAAGCGCACGACCCGACGATCGAGTAAGATGAGGCTGCCTTACTGCACTCGTGCAGACAAGAGTCACCCCTTTCATCTTTGGATGTTACGGTCTGCGAACAATTTAATTTCCTCAAATATACGGGCTGCAGGTTTCAACACAACACGTCAGGTTAGCTGTGTATCCCTACAGCACAACACACGAAGCAACCACCTCGTACATACCTTTCAAGGCATCCTTGTTCAGCGGAACGTTTTCGAACTCCATACCAAACGGATTAGCTTCTACAGTCTCCGACTGGGTCCGCCGTACAGACTCCAAAAACGGGTGCGCAAGCGCTTTGTCCACCTTCAACAAAAATTACACCGTCAAATATCAAGACATGCCCCTGCAGAACAATGTGTCAGATTGGCATCCTCACGTACCGAAATTCGGCACTCGGGATTAAATGACAGCATCTGCTTCAGCAAGTCCAGCGAGTCAGCAGGGGCGCCCGGATACATCTACAATGCATGACAAAGTCAAGTCACAGTTCGCTATCGCTGCTAACTTCAGCTAGGCAGTACACACCTCACGAAGGTCCCTGGGCTCCTTCTTTGGCAGTTTTCGCAAATACTGCTTCACTTCGCCCAAACTGCCAATATCATCCTCGCCCGGTGTGCCAATGACGTTGAAGATCACATTGAGCTGGTCCAGCTTGTCTGAGTACGTCGTGGGGCGATCTGCGCTGAGCGGGAAGCACGATCGACCGGGAAAGAGCGGCACGCGCTCCTGGTACCGCGGGCAGCTCTCAACTTGCATACTAAGCAGCTCTGCAAAAATGCACCCGATACTCCACATATCGACGGAAAAGTCGTACTCTTGAAGGAGAATAAGCTCTGGCGCACGATACCACCGTGTGACCACGTGCTTTGTCAGCTGTCGTCGCATCTTGGGAAACTCCCCAGATGATGACGGCGTCGAGGAGGCACTGCCAGGAGAAGGCGCCGACGTAGTTCCTCCATCGGACGTGGTAGGCGACTTCGAGTCCTTCGGCGAATACAAATGCTTGCTCAGCTCCTCCATCGACAAGTCGCTCTCCATCACACGAGAAAGACCGAAGTCACAAATCTAGAACGGCAATCACGATAATATCATACGTAAATATAGCGACTCCCACAGCACTTGACCACCTGGCAACCACTTACCATGAGGGTGCAGTCTTCGTTCAGCAAGATGTTGGCCGGTTTCATGTCACGATGAATCACGTTGGCCGAGTGGATGTACTTCAAGCCACATAAGAGCTGGTACAGGAAGACTTGGATGTGCCGAATCGTCAAGTACTGTGGACTCATGATGAGCTTGTGCAGATCCGTGTCCACGAAGTCAAACACGAGGTACAAGTCCGTGAACGTGTCATAGTTTTCCGGTGGGATAACGTCGATCAAATTGATCACCTGCGAGTGACTAGAAGAACAAACCCAACACAACCACAATCCGGTAAGGTAACAACAAAAGGCGACCGGAGCTCCACATAGGAACACAAGCACACGCACCTCAGACGACGCAGGATGTAGATCTCACGGTACAACCGCTTGCAGTCAATCTCCTGATCAAAAACATTAATGATCTTCTTGATCGCCACTTTCGTCTGACGTTCCGCATCAAATGCCTCTGCGACCTAAAACCCACAAAAAACCCACAAAAATCAACAAAAAACCTTAGCAATCAATAAAAC